AATCTTGCCGCCAATTCGCAATTCACCTTCGATATCGATCGATATTTGTCGCGCTATATTCTGACACCCACAAAGAAGACGCAGACGTTACAGTTTGCTTTTGCTCCATCGTCACCTTCCACTCACCATCAACACCTTACTAATGTTTATTTCAAGGATGAAAGGTAAACATTTCCATTTGGTGGGCGGAGCTTATCCTTATGACCTGCAAATTTTAGGCTTTTCGAGGTGATTCTGAACAGAAATGGCTCCATCAACGTTGGTATTATCAGTGATGAGAAGAGAGGAGCCGTTAGAACATTTGCAGGAAATTATTCCGATGGTTATCGACATTTTTTCGTCGCGCGATTCGGAGCACATCGGGCTACCGCGGTTACTGTGAGTATAGTCTTTTTTTGGAAAATTAAATACTGAAAGGGGACAGTCTGAATAATCAGATAATGGTTTAAATTGAGATTATATAAAAAAGGCTTCAAAATTTGAAATTTCTACAATTGGCCGAATTACATAAACACTAAAGCTGCGAATTTGCACACTTCCAGTTCCCACAGCAAGTCAGTTGTCTAATCATTTGATAAATTAAAGTTTGGAAAATTATTGCTTTTATAACCTATCGATTGAAAACTTTGAGGAAATATCATAGAGCGTTTTTAGATTTCATCGCGCAAATTGCGCACAATTTACACTGGTTCTAATCAATATATCGATTATCTCCCCTAAACAAAATCAACGACTTTACCTAATACTGCATTTTCATATTGACGCCATTCGTCATGATTTCGAGTTCGTCGCCGAGAATTTGGATCTCTACAATGCCAAGGAGATAATTATCGGAGGGCAGAGATCCGAAAAGAAAGATCTATTCACATCAAGCAAAAGCTACTATGATGGCTGTGTATCGAGTGAGTGCGACAATATCTTATTGATTTTTTTCTTCGTAAGCAAGTCATATTCGTTCCGAATACAAGCGATATTAATGAAAACATCGAATTTCCAGTTTTTCCCCTTTCAATATATAAAACGATTGAATAAACAATCATAAACCTGTAATTTCAACAGTGGGCGTGGTTTACCCAGCTATAATGCCACAATTGAGTTCCTACACGATGACTTAGTTATATCAAAGGAAGTCCACGTTACAGATCTCGAAGTGGATTTCGGGATACCAGCCCTACACGCGACACCTTTTTCCTATCTGGGCGGGGCCATCCAGTCGGTGACCAATTACAGCTGGATGAATCCGCCTATAACCGTGATCCGCGGGAATTGTGCACCGTTCAAAAACCCGAATTCATTGCCAGGTATAGTTTTGTGAAGCGATAATTTGAGATGTTGTTTTCATGAATTATTCCTGTGTATTAGTGTAGATTTTTCAGTATATCATGACTCTATCGAGCTACCAGTATGGGAGACCAATTTCCAGCG